ACACACACACACACACACACACACACACACACACATACTTACTTCAAGTAATAGCCTTCAAGCAACTGAAAATGTGAGTACTACTTAGGTGTATGCAAACCTTCTGTCTGCACTATAGAGTCACTTGACCTGGTTTAAAACTTTACTTGCAATATTGACTTCCAGGAAGGTATGTTAAAATGCACTTTTCAGTTAATCCAACTAATATTCAATCCATTGTTTGGTATAACTTAATGAAAATCTATGTTATATACTTTAATACTTTTATTTGTGAACCTAGAGTGTGCAAATGGTTCCATTTTTGCTCCATGTTTTTACCAAAAGCATCTTTTGCCATATTTAAGTCACTGCAAAACAATAAAATGCTATAAATGATGATCAGTGGGTGGGGAGAAAAGGGAAAAAAGAGAGATTTGGTGTTACAATTTTTTATATATTTAGACAAGACACAACAAATTCCACAGCTTCATCTCCATTACTATTGCTTAAGATAAGATCAGAAATTAAATGTGATTTTTTTCATTGTAACTTTTAAAAATATATCAAGAAAAACTTGTGAGGAAATATAAAGACCAGGTAACTTTACCGTGTTCCTAGAAAGCCAAATGAATAATGTTGATATTTTAGATGTGAAAAAATTCATAATAATTTATCATTCAAATCTCATAATTATGTAGGAGCATCAGATAGCAGTATGTCATCTGGCTATCTGCAGGCCATTTTTTGCCTAATACCAGGCCAACTTATGAAATGGTCCACCATCTGTGGCAGATCCGACTTTAGTTCACTTTGGGCATGCTGCTAAAAAGGAAATGCTATTCTAACATGGATTGATTACTGATGTGATGACTTCCAAGGTCCTGATACATACAATAGGAGCAGAAGAAACACTCTTGCCTATTTGAAGATAGTACAGTACGAGGAAAATTAGAAACCATAAATGAAGAACACGTAATTTGCAAACTCAAAAAAAATACCAAGTGATACACACCTGTTTGTGAATTATTCAGGAACACGTATATCACCATTAGTTCCTACTATTTTAAAGAATAGATATATTGTATATATTTGTCTCCATTCTTTTTCAAGATTTCTTTTAAACTCGTCTATGCAATGTGCTTTCCGTTTGTTTTGAGGTTTTTTTTTAACTATACCAGAAGGCCATCCCCATATTCTTCAAAAAGACTCAATGAATTTACACTTCGTGAACTTTGAACATACTTTTAAAAAGTAAATGTTCCTCCATCACTATGGTAAATTATTATAGCACGGCTTATTAAAAAAAAAGAAACTAGAGTGGTATTCCATTTAGCCAACACTGAGTGGTTGGCTACACAATCAAAAAGGTGTTGGTAGAAACATTTAGTGTTACAAAGCTATTGGTCTATATAAGATCTGTCTTTTGTTACTAGAGCTCTTAAGCATTCTGTAATGGTGAGAATTTAATTTTGTTTCTCAGAGCTAAAATAGGTATGCCTAAGAGAACATATTTTAGTTATTTTATTCCAGTCTGGGAAGGGTGTAAAGATTTTTTAACATGTATAGATATGACTATGCCCGCATAAATGCACATATTACTAGGACTGAAAAAATCTATTACAGAAATATATGAAAGAAAAAAATCAAATGAGACGGGTAATATTATTAAACTTTGTTGTGATTCTGAGTAAATTTACTTTTTCGAAGATACTCAACAATATACTTCTTTCCTAGGGTTCAACTATTCACATCACTGTATATGTGTTACAGCTACTCTCTAATGAAATGTCTTGTACATGGTGGAACATATCTGTATGTACACATCACCAGTAGTCTATACACATACACATACATATACATGCATTTATATATATAAGTATATATCTGATATGCATATATATGTTTATATATGTGTGTTTTCACATACATACACACACATTCAGAGTTGGAAGAGACCTTAGAGATTTTTGAGTCCAACCCAAGTGTTGTGTGTGTATATGGGGAAAGAAAGAGAATACGGCACTACAGAAGAATGTTTGGAAGTCATGCTTCCATTACACTGTCCTGTCAGTGTTTGACATACTAATATAAGAAACAACAGTCTGCTCCTACCTTGCTCCTGCACGTAGTATGCCAAAAACAAATCAAGCTCTTTAACTGATACTGTTATATGATGTGGCTGGACGCAAAGTGCTGGATTTGTGCAATGTGGGGATTTCATGAGCCGTTCTCCATCCGTACTTTCCAAAGGGATGCCTTTGAACAGGATCACCATGACTAGATCCAGACGCCAGACTTTGTCAGCCTGTCGCAGGCAGTCGATTCTCCTAATCTTACCCTTCTGGTCGGGATTGGATAATACACAGCATGGGTGCTTCTTCCCAGTCACGGTGAGCACGAAATCCTCCCGGTACTCTTGGCGGATGTCTTTGCGCAGCTTGGCGAGGAGCCTAGATGCCCACTTCTGTTTGATTTCAGGCTTTTCACTAAGAAGCTCATCTTTGACTGCTCTTTCCTCATCCTTTGACATTCGCTTCTCGTGTTTTTTAAAGTACTTGCGTTTTCGAGCCTGCAGGTTGAACCACGTATAGGCGATTGCACGGACATGTGGAAGAAGTGCCTCGATGAATGGGTGAAATTCATCCTGTGGAAGAAGGGAAGGGGACAGAAGAGAAGAAGAGTAAAGTCAGTTTGATCTTAAAAGCTCAGAAAAAAAAGTGCAAATTCCCTACCAGTTAAATACACAAAGCATTAGAAAGGTAGGTTTAGGTGTAAAGATCTGTATTATTTCCTTTTATTACTTAAAATTATTGAAATGATAAGACAGAAGGTAAAGAAAAGTACTGTGACAGTTACCTCTTCCCTACCCCCACCCCACAGTTTGAGGATAATTTTTTTAAACAAATGAAGGTTTTATTTTGTACCCCTGCTCTCATCCCCACCCCCACCCATGCCATACAGAATATATTCTTCAAAAAAGCTTGACCAAAGTGCTTTGATCCTATTTAATATTTAAATGTTTGACTGATCAACTAATGCTAGGCAGTACCATTGTACAAAGGACACACTAAGATTTTGGAAAATCTGAGGAGAGCTGTTCAGAAGGCAGGAGCGATGATGCCACAGTTCATTTCTCTTCTCTGTGGCACAGAAACACAAAGCATATACATGCTCAGTGTAATGCCACACAGTTCCCGCTTTTGGAGCATGCTCTCAGCAAGAGACTGCTGGTGGCACAGAGAGCATGCGCCATCAAACTTGATCCATTTTCTTATCAAACGTCCAACATTCCAACACTGAAACAGTCCCATTCCAGTAGTGGTAACTACAGAAACCGGTAATACAGTAAGGGAAAGTAGGTAAAAGATAAAGCATGGATTAGAGAAGCCCCAAACCAAAGGTTTCCATATTTTAAGCACTGCATGTTCTCCCTCTCCTCACATCCTCCCCCACCTCCTCCACCAACTTTATGAAATAAAAGTTTACAAAGTTGAAAACTAAAATTACATTAATGATTCTCTGGCAGCTTCCTCTTTAGGATATGAAGCCCCACAGAGTCAGTTAATTGGTTAACTGATCACATGAGTGTGGCAATTATTCTAAACCCCTTAAAAATCAATCTGAGGTGAACAATGAAAAATGGCAACTTGGCACAAACTTAACATTCTTTGTGTTTCTGCACACCGTGACAGAGTGACATTAGGAGTGCACCACTGGTCAAATACTGCTTTTGTAGAATATCTGCAGTTCCTTTGCCATATTTAAACATGTGCATGTGTGCATGCACATGTAGATACAGTGTAGCTGCCTATCGCTTACAATTCATTGGATTGCCTATAGATTTATATGTTGTTCCTACCTTCATCGAAGACTGGGGGTGAGGGGAAAATAGTTGCAGGAATAGAAAACTATTCAGTTTTTCATTACTTTCTGCTTTGGGCTGATTCATGTATACCTCTTTTGGGAAAGCTCTTCCCAGCCTATAAACCCCAACTGTAAATATAGATGTAAAAATTCAAAATTTACAACAAATAGGATCATATATCTCCATCTTGAGCTGGTGGCAGACCAGGACTGTTTTACTTTTAAGATATTCTCAACAATTCTTGGTCAAATTGATTGTACTGTCAATCCAAACCACAAACTGACTTTCTCTGAGTGACTATATCCCAAGTTACAGCTTATGGATTAATGTTAGCTACCCTGACAAATGTGGAATAAATTATGTTTAATCAGCAGACTGATTAATTCCATTAGGTAAAAATGCTGGAAGTATAGCCAATGACTTTATGACAAAGAAAGTGTCCTAAAAATTCCATATTAACTAATCAACCAAGCTTTAAACAAGATTTATTAATAGTATCCATTACAAAAGTTTGGTTAAATACTAGTTTAGCCTATTTAGATGCTGAAAAAGCTTGAGACTTTTTTTTTTAGTATGAACTCCTCAAATACAACACATATACAACAGACACACACACACACTATCATTAACAGACATCAAATATTTCATGTATTGCCTTAAAACACTGCTACAACAGAAGAAAAATGGGATCAAAATTTTAGAATACAGGATGCAGATGATTACATTACAGCATGAAGCATCATGAAGTACCACAGAGGAAATCATTAAACTGATCAGGAGTTTCCAGCAGAGATTTGAACAATTCAGTTACTATGCAAGCACATAAAACTAGGACATGGAAAGAGTTAACCACAATCTGTTCTTTGTGTGGGAAGGCAGCCCTGCTCTGAGCAACCACAACCCATGATAAGACCTCCCTATCTCCATACACTTTCTGATGCCATGCTTTTAGCTTTTACTGTAACTATAGAAAGTTTTCTTATTCCCCTAAGAAAAATATGCTAAGTGAAAGCGTTCTAAAGGAAACTTGGACTTCCGTGTTCCTTTACAGCTTACTCCTTACAAATCTCACCTTTGCATATGCTTTATTGATATGATTGATAAATCATCTCTGATTTGCTTTAACTTGGGAAATTTTAGAGTTTAGGGGGAAAACTTCCTCTTCCACATAGCACTATTGTCACACTTAAAAGTACGCAGTGTTATTTTAACAGGTATTAAGCACTGCAGAAATACTTGTGTTCTTAAGTGGTATGTTCAGCGACATTTCACTTTCCTATACAGAGATAACAGTCAGTTTTGACTAAACTTACTTCAGTGTAAATATTGAAGCATGAATAATACTGTTAATCTTTTCATGAATGTTAAAAATTAATATGCTTCTTCAAATATAGAGGATTCAAATTTTAGATTCATCTGTTTCCTGAATGTTACTTTACAAATATACATAAAACACAAACTTTTAAAAATAATTCTGAAAATGTTTAAAATGACACTGCCAAAAACGATTGTAAAGCATACACTGGAAAAAAAAAATTAAGCACAGAGGTAGCAAACTTTCTTAGCCTTCAGAGAGGTATTATTAAGTATCTTTTAGAGCTTCATTGTCTATCTGGATTCCTTTCAAATGAAGCACTGCCTGACAAGAGGCATAAATGATTCTAAATGGAGACTTGCTATTACTTATATACCTTTCTCCACTAACATGACTAAAATGCCATTTACTCCATTTGATTGGTTTGTAACATTGTCAGAGGCAATATATTTTTTAATGATTTTATGTGACATGAATGTGGATCATAAGTAGCTGTCTTCACACATACACAAGTGATTTATTAAAGTACAGACTTTCAAATATCCCATTAGATGGATCAGGTGTACAAAATGCATTCTCATTTTAAACAAAAATGGGAGTTACTTTGAAATAAGCGAAGAATTTGAGAAATTAAGTATTTAAACTTTTAACTCTTATAATCCAAGTTAGTAGGCCACCTTTTCTCAGTTTTGGTTTTAAAAAAAACACTTTGATCTTTCCCATTTCCATTTTTTCTAAACCCCAAATGCATTATCAAATTAAAAGACTTAGTAAAGAAGCAGACCACATGTTATAAACTCAAAATAAAACATTCTGCATTTTCTTAAATCAGTTTTCTTGCCTTCAAGAAAACAATGGTTTCTAGAAAGGAAAAAGAAAATTTGAACATTTGGGGGGGGGTGGACAATTCTGAAGGATCGGCTATGTTTAAAAAAAAATATTAAAAAAGTGTATCAGGAAAACCTGAAAGCACATGAAGAAAAATAATAATTGGATCCTATTATTCCTACAAAACAGTGCATTATTGAGGTTTTGTATTATTTATGATAAGAACAAGCAAACATTAAATCATTTGTATTTTTTCTTACAAGTCTGTTTTATATTCTCGGCATGTATGAAGTACCAATAAAGCAGCATACCAAACTACTGAATATCAGCTTTTAACAATGGTGCCTTTAGAATTAAGATGGATTCTAAAAAACAGGTACCCTACTACTATTGAATAAGCTGACACTTTTTTAAAAGTTCTGAACAATCAGGTGATCCACTCTAATTTGTATTTATAAATCTTAGAAAATCTTTTTATATGAACATTCAGCACCACTATCAACATGAAACAGACAGTGATATAAAACCAAAACAGTTACTTAGTCTAACTTTTGTAACATTTTTAGTGTTCGCCACAACCTAACATTTAAGTCTTCTATTAAGCATGAGCTCCAAAATAGTTTCTCATCACATAAGCCTTAAATCCTAAAAATAGATTTATTAAGGCAATATGGAAGATACTATTCTAAAAAGTAAAAAAAAAGCCATCGAAAAGGCATACTACAGAGGCAGAAATATACATATTTATATGTTCGAACATATTTTATGCCGAGAAATTGCTATACAATTTTTCCTCTGTAGAAATTGAGGTTAAGTTTAAACTAATATTCTTTTGCTAAACCTTTGCAGAGAATCTTGAAATCTAACCCCTGGTAACAATTTCTGAAAAGCAACTGTTATGAATATAAGCAATATATGGAATGTGGACCATTATCCAACACTTTGCAGGTGAAGATGAATGATGTAGCATTTCTTAAGCATGCATAGGGTGCAAATACAAAATGCATTTCATTTTGTATTACTTGCAACATGTCAGATAACCATACATGTGTTTAAGTACTAAGGAATGTTAATATTTTACCCCCAGAAAGGATATATTTGTATAAAAAAATACTAATGATGGATTATAACAAAGGTAATTCACACACATAAGGTGTATCTCTTTGAACTTCATTGTGATACTTAAGAGGAGAACCTATCTATAACTTTCAAAATACAAATAGCTCAGCAACTATCTTTTCCAGTTTTGTTAAAATAAAGACACGTTTACTTGCTGAAAATATCCATATCTAAGTCAATCATACTCAGATGCCAAACAAAATATAAACAATAAAAAATGTGTCAGCCAAAAAGCTACAGGACTGTATCCAATCACTGAATAAGCCTTATCATTGTTTTCATCTTCATTCACAATTTATGAATGCCTCAATCCTTTTGAATCACAATGGCTTCTAATTGTCAAACAATTGAAATCTTAATCATTTGTCCATTACACAAACGCATCATAATAATATTAGATTTTTTAATTTAACACACCCAAAGACTTGCTCACTTCTTTAGCTATTTGGTTTGTATGCCAATATGAAAGCAAGTGGTTAACAGTTAACAGTTTATGAAATGTTCTAAAAGGGCCAACATTAAAACTCCTGCAAACTGTCCCACAGCTTTAGAGTTATAAAGTACTGATTAAAATGTGATTGATGACTATGGGATTAGTATTTACTTCTTAATGAAATAATGACAAATGCCCTGCAGGTATTTAAAAGCAACTCCAGTGGGGTCACTTTTCATATGACCTTGGTTTTAAATTCTAGAATTGGAAAAAAATAAAATATGTATTTTATTTTGTGATATTGTCAAAAAGATGTTAAACCCAAATTGAAAGATATTCGTATATGGTATATATTTATATTTTCAAACAAGAACTAGCTTACTTACATTTTTCTAAACTACTTTAGGCATACATGATACACCCGCAAAATTTACAAAATGAAAAAGCTTATTGAAATAAATGTAGCTATTATGGCCCAAAACAACCATCAGTGCCAACCACATGGGTTCGAATTAAAGGTATCTTTAATGACTAAGGTACTTAAAATATTTTCTTTTTGTACAACGTGTAGTCAAGGCTTTCCGATTCCAAAAGTAGGCAAGAAAATAGTCAATTTCTCTTCCATTATCGGCAGCAGATTAAATAAAAATCTTACATTACATTAGTCAACGTTAGTTTAAGGAACACAGAATAACCATGTCCCCTAAACTCCCTGTATTATTTAGAGACCAAAACGAACAGTACAGGTTAAAAGAGAGTAAATTAATTCTAGTCGTTGCATTTCAAGCCCTGTTCTTTCTTGGGTAATTAAAACTTTCTCCCTTCAATTCTCCCCATTCCCCTTACCACCTTCTCCATTTGACGTTTTAGACCCTAATTCGACAACATTTGTGCAGAAGTGGCCTTTCCTTCACTTTCAAGGAGCAAGTGCACATTTCCCTTACTTTGGGGTTAGGAATTCCTCCCTTAAAGGATCTCAATTCTTTTATAACCCTGTTTCCCTACGGGGATTAACCTCCAGGATGCACTTGGACCCTAGAAAAACTGGCCTCCCCCTTTCCCACCCAAACCAAAAAATGACTTTTTAAACTTTTCACCTTTTTTTTTTTTTTTGGTTCATTCAGTTAAATTCCGCTAGTTGTTCACAATACAAAACAAAACAAAACCGTTTGTATATCTATACCTGAGTGAGACAGATGGGCGAATACATCATGACTTCGCCTTAAAACGCACTTTCCGGAGATCCCCCAAGAAAAGCCTCCAGAAGCAATAACTTCATCTATTCATTTTACAGTCAGATATCTGAGACTCAAGATGAGATCAATCAGGATCGGGCTCTGCCCTGGATCACCACAACTTAACAACAAACCCAGTCCTCCTTAAATAGCCAAAGATTCAAGTTCACTTCTTGAGCTAGATTTCCCGGGGTGAAATCCAATCTACACTTTTAACCCTCTGGCTGTCGCTGCGCAGTAGCAGTGTTGGTGGTTGCTGCTGCTGCCGCTGCTGCTGCCGCCGCCGCCGCCGCCGCCGCCACTGCCGCCGCCACCGCCGCCGCCACTGCTGCTGTAGTACTTGCTGCTGCAAGCTGGGTCTCGGCCGGGATTGGGGGCTTGCTTGCTTTTTTTTTTTTTTTTTTTTTTTTGCTTTTTTGTTTGTTTTTGCTGTCTTTGTTGGGGACCCTCGAGGGATAAAATCGGTTTGTTTTTGTTTGCTTGTTGCTTGTGGTGAGCTGCGTTTAAGAAAAGGAGAAAGACGAGTGGGGAGAGGGACGTTTCACCAGGCTGAGAAAGTTCAAGGTTATAGTCCGGAGCAATGCAGGAAGATCCTGGAGTGATCAGAGGCGAAACTTTGCTAGCAGAAGGTCGTGAGTGTAAGTGTGTGTATGTATGTGTGTGTATGTGAGTGTGTTTGCGAGGGTGTGTGCGCGTGTGTGGGATAGAGCGCGCGCGCAAAGGGGCTAGAGATGAGGAGGGAAAGAGGGAGACCGAATGTATGAGGTAGGGGGAGGGGGGCAAGTGTGTGCGTGTATCCCAAGGGCGGAAAATGCTTCGCACCACGCAATCTCCCGTCTGTTCTTCACACGCACAGCAGCAGCCGCAGCAGCAGCCGCAGCCGCAGCCCTAGCCCCAGCCCCAACTCCAGTCCTAGCCGCCTCTGCTGCCGCCGTCGCCGCCGCCACCGCCTCAGCTGCCGCAGCCCCAGCCGCCTCTTCAGCCTCCCCGGACTCCAAGACTCTCTCCTCTTCGTGTCTTATGGGGCAATGCTAAGAGGCTGCTTGCTTCCCAACGCCCACTGTAACAAAAATGATCTCTTGAAAAATCCAAACGATAAATCCTTCTCCTCTCTTCCAACTCCGTTTTCTGCTCTGGGCTCCCCCACCCCCCACACTTTTGGTGCAAAACTTGGAAGTTGAAAAATTCACCGGCTACACCCTCTGGACCCCGCTCCAGCTCTCTCCAAATCAGACTTAAGGATTGTTTTATTATTTAATTACACAATCATTGCTTTACTCCTCCTCCTCCTGCAAACGCACATTCCTTTTGCACCAGCCTCTCCACACACCCCCGCCCCCACCCCTCTCCTCTCTCTCTCTCTGTCTCTCTCTCTGTCTCTCTCTGTCTCTCTGTCTCTGTCTCTCTCTCTGTCTCTGTCTCTCTCTTTCCCTCTCCTTCGCTCTCTCTCCTCTTCTCTCCCTCTTTCTTCCTTTCTCTCTCTCTTCCTCTCTCTCTCCCTCTCCCTTTCTCTTCTTCTCTTCCCCTCCCCCTCCTTCTCTCTCCTCCCCCCCATACCACGACTTTTTACAAACAGCTTTCTTCCTCTTTGCCAAACCTTACACCCTCTGCTCCATCTCCACTTCTCCCACATCGCCGCGCGCGCAAGCACACATACATACACAGAGACACACACGCCCTGGAAGGGGTATTTTGGTTTCACTACGCTGATTTGTGCGGTAGCGAGGAAATGAGAGAGAGGCAGTTAAGTCTGGGGCAGACAGCCCCAGAGAGAAGAAATGGAAAATTCACACACAGACACACACACAAACACACACACGGAGCAGGGTAACTGACTCTGGCACCTTTGGGTTGGGGGAGCAGTCTCGAGATTAGGCTGATAGACTGAAAGGGGAAGACATGACAGTAGAGACCAGGAGAACAGAAAGGAGAGTGGAGAGGATGTGCCTGGAGCGATCATACATTTAGTTAAAAGGGACCTGAGAGGCCCTGTCAGCCAATCTCCCCTTCTTACTGATTCAGAAACTGAGGCACTAGGAGGATAGCGCTTGAGGCGGGATTTGAACCCTGGCTTCTAGACTCCAAATCATGCGTTCTATCTCACAGTCTGTGGGTGGGTTGCATTGCTGGTGGACAAATAGGGGAACTTTGATTCAAAATAACTGAGGGATTGAGTATAGAAAACGGCACATCCTGGTGTCTATACTTAAGCCCCTTCCTCGCCTTTTCTCTTCCTCTGCATTTTATCATAAACTTGCACCTTTAAGAGTCCGGGAGTGAAGGAGGCTAGGAGGAGGGTTTTCACTGAGATGAGGGTTCACTGGGGTCTCCCTCGGCCCGGACTAATGCCTCAGGGTAACGGAGGAGAAGCTGCCTGCAGCGGTTCTCCGCGATTTGCCGCCCTCCCCCGGGGTGCCCCTTGCACGTGGCCTTGCTCGCTCAAAGCCGTAGGACGGGGCCCCGGAGCCACCGCCTCCTCCTCCTCCTCCTCCTCCTCCTCCTCCTCCTCCTCCACATTCCCCTCCCCCTCTCCTCTCCTCCTCCACCCGACTACATAGGCTCACACCGAGTCTCCACCCCCGGGGGCCCGGGGCGCCTACGGAAGCGGACCCTCCCTCCCCCTTTTCCTCCCTACTGGGGTGCAAAGAGGGGTGGGGGAAACTGCGCGGCTTCGGAGCCTTTACCCCTCGCGCCCAGGGTGGAGTGAGTGTGAGTTTGTGTGTGTGTGTGTGTGTGTGTGTGTGTGTGTGTGTGAGAACGCGAGAGAAAGAGAAACCGAGTGTATGTGAGTGTATGTATCTGTGTGTGTGTGTGTGTGTGCGCGCGTGTGCGCGCGCGCGCGCGCGCGTGTGTCTCCAGAGCTCCGGAGGCAAAACGTCGACCCCAGTAGCAGCTTTTTCCTTTCACGGGGTCTGTTTTCAATCTTCCAGAATAGCTTTCCCCACACCAACCCCCCAAGTCTGGAAGACTCGATTCTCTCTAAAGATAGAGTGAATGAACTTTCTTTAGGATATTTTCACGGGAGGTGCTTATGCCATGAACGCCCTTCTTTCTCTCAGCTGCACCCCTCCCCACCCCAAAAGCAATTTTCAAAACGTGGATGGATGGAGAAGGAGAAGGGAGAGGATTTCAGACAATGGAGAAAAGCAAGTGCCTTCTCCACCCACGTTTTTTAAACCTAGCTAGTGGCTGGAAGGAACTGGGGGCCTCTAGGAGTTGGACCAGCTCCGGGCGATCGTTGCCCAACTAGTCCCGGCAGTACAGAGCCGAGAGCAACCCAGCCCTCATACTATGCGTTTACTGCGGTTGCCGCCGCTGCTGCAGCCTTATTTTCACTTTACTCTTTTTTAGGTACTTGGAATCTTTTTTTTTTCTGTATTCCCCCCCCCCGCGCGCCTTTCTATTTCTTGCCCCCATTATTCTTCCCCTTCCCCCTTCTCCCCCCCCCACCTCCAAGCTGTCCTGAAGGAGCCAGTGACTTTTTCCTTTTCCAAGTGGGAGTTATTCACATCAAGCATTTCACTACGACACATCAAGAAAAGTAGGCAGGTTCAAGTCAACCATGAAATGGTCACTTTTTAACCCCGTCCTGTCCTCATTAGGGAAATGCTCAAACACAGCCCGTTTTCAAAGAGGGCTCTTAATGAGGAGAGCTTGCCAAGTCTACCAGCTGCAGTCCCTATAAACTTAGGAGGCAAAAGAAGAAAGGCACTAGGGGGGTGAGAAGGGGGACGGGGAGAAGGGGGGAGGTCTCCTGTTATACAGGTAAATTCGAGGAAACTACAAAAACTCCAGCTAGTTAACCCTTCAGGAAACCTTGAGCATACACTGCTGAGTGCCCACAAGTGCGTGCTAAATCCTATATGAAGCGTTCAAACAACTTTAATTTCCTTTTAGCCATTTTTAAAGTAATAAAGAAGCTGATGGCATATATTGATGACAGCAATGAGAAGCAATGACGGTTAGCTCGAATCAGTTTTTTTACTCCGTGAGTTTTTAAACATCCGAAAGCCCATCTACCCCACTCTTTATCCCTAATCCCTTTACATTAGGCATTTTCCTAGGTATCTTTGTCTTCCTCAATCCCATATACTTCAAAAAGCCGATGATGCTGGCTCTAACTACTGGATTTCCCTTTGAATAAATATTCAATTTAAGTGGAGTTAATTTACCGTAAGAGACGTTCCCCTTAGCATAAATTCACTAGTGTCCTTGAACACATCTCTTTTGAATGTCTGGATCAGTACCCAAATCATTACTTCAAATCTTTTTAAAAACTGAGCCCCCATCTATTTCTCACTTTCTCATACACACACCACTAAACCTAGTGAAAACACTGGCGCCCAGACCAAACTCCCTCTCCACCACAGATCTGTGAAGGAGCCCTTATCCTTTGGCAAAAAGAAAGGGGGTGGGGGTGGAGGAACCTAGTCTTAAAAATTGGGGAGGTTTCTCTACAGGCATATCCATTCTCTCTCACTGCAGTGCTTCCCTCTCCCCACCCCCAATCACCAAAGAAAATACTTCCCCTTACCCTCACCCTCAAACCAAGATCACATCCAAAATGTTTCCAAAGCCAAAGAGAGATTACAACCATTAATTAGAATGAATACCCCTGACTTAGCAGCTACAACAGGAGTTCCAGTTAACTCCAGTAGCAGAAGCAGCACAGAGGACTTCGTGCCAGGCTCCAGGTAAGAACCACTAACCACTGAGATTGTTCCCCACCCAAAAAGAAGGATCGTTTAGAGGCAAAAAATGTCCCTCGCTCCTATCTTCATCTGCCACTCTAAAAATTGAAGTGTTTGTAGTTGTATAGGGCATGGTGATCGTGGTAACTTAATGTTTCTACTCGCTACTTCCCTTACCAGATTGGGCTCCCCATCCAGGGTAAAGGGGACATAGAGAAGTAAAAAGTGTGGTGGGAGAAAGATAATGAAGAGAAGGGAGGGGAAGGGGACTGTTAGCTGTCTATACTTTATGCTGTTTCTATTTGACTACACTCTTTGCCCTCAGAAGCCCCAGACAGGTAGGTACGTGATATACCAGTAAAACTAACATTTCTTTCTTAACCTACTTAAGCCAAAGTAACTCTCTACCTTTGTAGGAATAGCTGACCAGAAAACCTCTTGGAAAGGGGGGCTGATGAATTTGGTTGTGTGGGACAGGTTGTTTCTTCCCAGCAGCAGAAGTCAATTACCACCTTGGGAAGTGGAAGGAATAGTCTATCCTTTCCCTGCTCCACTCCCACCTTTTCTGAGGTTAGTCTTAAA